GGAATTAAACATATTGGTATGAATTCATGATTTTCAAATATGTAATTAAATATAAATGTAAATGTGTATATTTGATAGATGGGTAGGGTGTGTGTGTTCCCTATCTCTGTCCACTGGGAGTACCTGGGAGCAGCAATATCCCAATAACAGTGAGCACACATGTGCCCTGATCTTGACTCTAAATATCATCAGGGTCCCTCCATCAGGCTGATTGCAGGCTGGGGCAGGGCAAGTGTAAGATGAGCCTGGAATTTTTTTGTTGTACCAGAAAGCAAGGAAATACTCAAAGAATGCAGGAGTCCTATCAAAAGAACACAGAATCCAGCTTGAAAGGATTCCCACTTACCAAATCTAGGACAATCTGAGCATCAAAAGAAATCATGGTAATGGATTATAACTCATTGAATAAAATAGAAAAATATGAGTTCATACTGATAGATGAATAAAGGAATTGAAAATATAATGAACAGGATATTTATGCACTGTCAAGTACCAAGTCACAAAGTACATTTATTAATTGCTATATTATCAATTATAGTTGTATAACAAATTACCCTAGCACTTAGTGACTTCTAGTATAAATTTTATCTCATAGTTTCTGTGGGTCAGAAATTCAGGAGTGACTTAGCTGGGTGGTTCTAATTCAGCCTCTCCCATGCGGTTGTGGTCAGGATTTTGCCAGGGGTTGCAGTCTTCTGAAGGCTTGATCAGGACCGGATGATCTGCTTCTAGCATTGCTCATTCACAGGGCTGTTGGCAGGAGGCCTCAGTTCCTTGTCATGTGGACTTCCCTAGATGCTGCTTGAGCATCTTCATGACAGGGCAGCCACATAATCTAATCTTCGAAGTCACACTCAATCACCCTGCTTGATTCTGTTAGAAGCCAAGTCACTAAGTCTGAGCCACATTCAAGAGGAGGGGACTTAGGTTCCACCTCTTGAAGTGAGGAGAATCAGACAATTTGTGGGCATAATTTTATACCACCAAAATTTTTAAAAGGACAAAAAGTAACTTGACAATGCAAAGTCTAGTAGACTCTCCTCAACAAAGGGATCAAAGTGAGTGCCATCAGTAACAAGACAATGAAGTTTTGTGTCACCTGACAGGAATACAATGAGAAGAACACAGCACATTTCTCTTATATTCCTGCCAAAGATGCATAGTCTGAATCTAATCATGTAGAGATATCAAGTGTGGTAGCCAGCCTCCAGGATGACCCCCAATGATCCCTGCCTCCTGGTATTCACACCCTTGTGTAGCCTCCTCCACGTTGTACTAGGATTGATCTTTGTTACCAGTAGAATACAGCAAAAGTGGCATGTCATTTCCAAGATGAGGTTATAAAGGACTGTGACTACTTTCTTGAGTTGTCTTGGTCACTCACTTTGGGGAAAGCTATGTTGTGAGCAGCCCTATGGAGAGGCCCACATGGCAAGGAACTGAAGCCTCCTGCCAATAGCCTCATAAGTGAGCTTGGAAGCAAATTCTACAAAATAACTGGCCTGTAATCTTCAAAAAGTGTCAAGGTTATGAAAAGCAAGACACAACTGAGAAACTCTTCCAGACAAAAGGAGACGAAAAAGACATGACAAGTGCAGTATTGATGCTGAACTAGATTTTGCTATAAAGAACATCATTGGAAAATTTAATGAAACAAGATTAAATAGTAGAATGTATCAACACTCGTTTCTTGATTTTGATGGTGACATTGTTATGTAGAAGAATGTCCTAGTTAATAGACACATGCAGCAAAACAGTCCGGGTTGATGAGGCATCAGGTTGGCAACTTAGAAATGTTTCAGGAAAAATAGTTCTTTGACTGTACTTCCATCTTTCCTGTAAGGTTGTAATTGTTTCAAATTTTTCAAAAGCTACATAAAAGGAAGCAATATTCCTATACATGTTTATGGTATAGTTGTGCATGGATGTCTGTTGCATAAATACCTACAATAGAGTGTGCACAGAGCATGCATTTCTTCACCTATAGTGAATTTTTTTCAAAATGGTCCTACCAATTTGCATTGGTACTAACCATCAGTGTTCCTCTTGCCATGCATATCCTTGCTAACATTTGCTATTGCCAGTTGTTAATTTTAGTCTTTCTGGTAGGTGTCTAGTTCTATCTTATAGGGCTTTTAACTTGCTTTTCTTTGATTAGTATTGAGTACCTTTTCATGTTTATTGTTAATTTGTATTTTCCAATCCCATTTTTATACTTTCTTTACATTTTCCACTTCATCTTATTTTTCTATTATCCGTCATTTTCTTGATTCGTAAGAGTTCTTTGTGTACTCTGGAGAAGAGGCCATTGGTTATACACAGAGTGTGTCAAAAAAATGGATACACATTTTAAGAAAGGAAAAGACTGTATTAAAATTGTAATACCCAATATATACCAATAACAAAAGATGAATACAAGTCATGTGTATACATTTTTTTTGGCACCCCCCGGTATGTTGCAAATATCTACTTTTTGGATTCCCTTTTTACTCTCCTCATAGTACATGTGGATGAACGGAAACTCTTAATTTTAAATTTTAGTATAATTTATCAGCCTTTTCCTTTATGATTAGTGTTGTGTTTTTGTTTCTTATGAATTCTTAACTCAAATATGTCACTTTATAAACCACTATTTTTTAAAACCTTTATTGGTCTGTAATTAATGTGTGCATATAGTAGAGTAGAGGTTAAGTCTTATTGTTTCCACACGCGTAACTAGTAATTCCTGTACAACCTGTCCTTTCCCCCCACTGCTCTCAATGCCATGCTTGTCATAAATTAAGTTTTCATATATACATTAGTCTATTTCTGGACATTATGTTCTGTTCCATTGGCTTATTTATACATCTTTGCTCCAGTCGCATATTATTAATTATTAAAGTTTTATTATAAGTCATTGTCTTTTAATCTAAGTCTTCCTTATTTGTTCCTTTACAAGGGTGTTTTGGCTATTCTTAGCTTTTTATATTTCCATATACATTTTAGAATAAATCCCAAAACAAATAAACAAAAACCTGTTGTGATTTTTATTGGCATTTGAGTCTGTAGATCAGTTTGGGGAGAATGGACATTTTTACAATATTGAGTCTCCCAATCTATGAACATAGTATATCCCTCTCTTAGTCACTTATTGTATGTCTAATTCTTCCCAGTAATGTTTGTTTTCTGCATAAAAGTCTTGCACATATTTTTTTCGATTTATTTATAGGTATATTTGATAGTTTTCAGGCTATTATAAATATCACTTTTTTTTTTTAGATTTTTTTTTTAATTGGGGGGATGGGAACAGCGGTGGGGAATTGGGGGAAGGGGAACAGACAAGTTGCTGTTGTTTTGTTCTTCAGTCTAGTTGTGGAGGACGTTGCTTCACTGGCCCAATTTGGCACCATCATTGCGCTCTTCCCGGGTGAGGCAGATCAGTCACCAGCTTCTGGACAGCTGCTCACTGCGGCTGCTAGCCGCTCACGCTGGCTGCTGGCTACAAACGGTAGCCCATGGCAACCCACTGCCACAGGGGCTGCAGCCTAGCCGTCGCCGGCGACTCACGGCAGCCCAGCTCCAGGTTGAGCTGTTGTTCAGCATCTTAGCTGTGGAGGGCAGTGTCACTGGCCCTCATATGTGGGATCTGAACTGGGGCCCTCTGGCGTCCCAAGCCAGTTCTTAACCATCGCGCCACTCGGCCGGCCCATAAATATCACTTTTTAAAGTTTGTTGTTTTACATGTTGACCTAACGCAGAATTCAGCAAACTGAATCCTGTCTGCTACCTGTTCTTATAGGTTTGCAAGCTAAGAATGTTATTTACATATGAATATGTAATGGCCTCAATCTAATCATGTAGAGATATCAAATGTGGTTGCCAGCCTCCAAGATGACCCCCAATGATCCCTGCCTTTTGATATTTACACTGTTGTGTAGTCTCCTCCACATTGTACTAGGATTGGTCTTTGTTACCAATACAGCAAAATTTTGTATTTTGAATACAGCAAAAGCTATGGTATGTCAATTTGATGATAGGGAATACTAACTTTGAACCTCAATTGAGTGAATTGTTATCCTCCAGAAAAGAATTTTATTCTTCTCATTAGTGAACCTCATTTATGTGAAATATTTTTATTAATAAAATCATTGTGGAAATGTTTCTCTCTTATTATCTAAGTATCTACGTAATACCCTCAATTTTGCCCCTTGGTCTGCAAAGCCTAAACTATTTACTATCTGACCCTTTACAGACAAAGTTTGCTGACCTCAATCTTAAACCTTACTAAACTCACTTAATGAATTTTAATTATTTCAAAAAATTTTATCTGTAGATTCTTTTGGATTTGCCATGAACGTAATACACCATCAGTGAGGAATGAGAGTTTTATTTCTTCCTTTTCAATTCTTTCATCTGTTTTTCTTTGCTTGCTGCATCTTAATCCAATATCCGGAATTGAGATTTTTCTTAGCCTTCTAGATATAGGCTGCACTCTATATATGGTTGGTTTATTCTTAGGGCATAGCCCCTCAGAGTCCTAACTCTGGATACAAAGTTTGCCTCCTGGCTTGTTGTAAATCACTATTGACTCTCTTAAGTTAGGCGAACACCCCTGTGCAAGAGTTGACTTAACTACAGGGCTGACCACTCTGAATTTCCATCTTCCATATTTTGGCTTGGTTATTCTTTACCCCTTGTTAGTTCTCTCAAGCAGGCTGTTTAAAATGTTTTGACTCTCTTTTCTAGTTCTGAGCTAAACAGTTGGTCTGAGTTACCTAGTCTGCCATTACTGGAATGGAATTGAGGAATGAAGATTTTAACTCAATTCTGTCAAACTTCAAGGTCCATGATTTTTATCCCTTACTATACTGTGTTGTGGTTAAGTCTAACAAACAATTTGAAGTGAAAAAAATGTTTATTTTTAAAAAATGAACATCATTTTACATTTCAAATTGTGCCTTCCAGGGCAGAAAATGTCAAATGAATATTTTAAGGCCTGTATTCTAATTTTTCCTCTGTAGTGAAGCAAATAAGCAGCATGTAAGATGTCAGAAATGCTTGGAATTTGGGCACTGGACTTATGAATGCACAGGAAAAAGAAAATACCTACACAGGCCTTCAAGAACAGCAGAACTAAAGAAAGCTTTAAAAGAAAAAGAAAACAGATTATTATTACAACAAAGGTAAGTTTACATGTGGTATCCAAAGGAATATTTTTATTTATATTTGTGGAATTTATTAAGGGCCTAAATGTTTCATGGCAGTTATCCATATTTAGGGTATCATGCTAGCTAATGTTTAATGAGTGCTTACTATGTGCCAGGCGCTGTACTAAGCTCTTTATGAGTATTAGCTTATTTAAACATCATATCTATACCATAAAGTTAAGTACTATTATTAATCCCCATTTTACATATGGAGAAAATGAGGCATGGAGAGATTCAATAACTTGCTCAGTCACACGGCTAGTAAGTAGAAACGTTAAGTGTTAAACTATCAGCCTCTCTTCAGAATCCATGTTCTTAATCACTTTGTTTTATTGCCTAAACTGACAATGACATAACAGATTACTATGAGGTAGATTATGTCAGCTAATAAGAAAAGATGTCCAAGAGAAGCATCCAAGGTACTTATATTAAGTATACAGACCAGGTAGAGAACAGTCTATATAATATGCTATCATTTATGTTAAAAAAGAGGAAGAAGGAATAATGGCATTTTTTAGGAAATATAAATGATCAATAATAGTAGTTCCTTTCTAATAGGAGTACTAGGTAGAAAGAAAACTGGAAAATTGTCCTTTACCCTTTTATGTCCTTTGGATAAAGCTTTTTAAATTCCTATGAAATAAGTAATTTTTTGTTTTAGAGACAACTGAAATAGGAAGATGTCAGTCAGTTCAACCTAGTCCTTAAAATTAGAAGTGGCATCTTCAGGAGGACTGTGAGCTCCATAATAGTGTCTTAAACATCTGGACTTCTAAGGCAGCAGTCTTCCAGTTTGTAGACATGAAGGCTCTTGGGTTATGCAGGAATATGATAAGTAATCAGCTTCTAGGTCATCAACATTCATATACACTTTTTCCAAAGATAAATCTGTATGAGAACTTGCCTCCTGGTTCTTCTTTTTCACTCCCTTTCCCAACAACCCTGCTTTAATTTCACAAAAGAAAGGCACACCTCTCACCTACCTCTAACCTAACCTTTGTGTATTTGTCCTCTTGTCTAAACACCCAGAGATTTTTCAAAATACTAGTTATTTGTACTGAGAAAGTGAATGGCTCCAATTATTGGGAGTAAACCCTTTTGTAAATTTTTTTCCCCAACAAAATTAATTGGAGAAGGACCTAATTGAGTTGTCAATTTAAAAGTATATTTCAATGATATATCATTATGTTACTTGTAGAATATAACAGGAGGAATTCAAAGAATTGAGTGACTGCTACAGCAAAACTCTTCCTGTTCCCATCTAGTATTTAGGTTAACAGGGTTTGTCAGGGTTAAATTGATAAAAATTAAATATGGGAATTGAATTGATGTTGGACCTTGTCACTATAACAGTAAGATCCATGGATACTTAAGCTAGAAAAAAATAAAACCATGTCATTAAGAGCTGTGTTTCCAATAAAATTATTTTTATGTATAATAGTTATTAAAATTTATAATATATTTTTACATTGTTTTAATCAATTTTGTAGTAATAATGGTAGTGGTAACTCAATTCAGAATTTTTAAACACTTTTTAAAGCCTTATGATCACAGGTAATTAAAATACACAATTTCAAGTTATGTCTATATTTTTACTGCAGAGAAGTATAAGTGATTGGTAAAATTTTCAGGCGTAGAAATATTTAGGATACATTCTATGGGGAAAGCAGAATAAAAGTACAAGTTCAAAGAGGAAAAAAGGACAATGTAAAAGTACCAACTGTTAAAGATAAGCTTGTTCATGTATTTTTTAAGTGAATTACGGTAGGTATCAAATTATTGTGACATTTACTTTCTATTGGATAGAGTTATCAAAGTGATATAGCAATTTTCTTTTTTAACTATCAATACGTAATATGCCGGAGATTATACCCTTTGCAAATATTAAAACTTAGAATAAAAAAATCTATAAGGCAAATACACAGTTTTTCAAAGTTCTTATATTAGGAATGTAAGCAAAAAATGTTTGAAGAACTCTTGTCCTAAACAATAAAAGTTAGGAATAATTTCATCCCAATACTTACTTTTGTTTTTCTAGTTGTATTAGCAAGTATCTTGATCTTAAAAATACAGAGAATACATGAATTTTAGATACCCTCTGTTACATAAAAATTGCTGATTTTTTGTTTAATGATAAAATGATGGAAATGTGTGAATTACAGTGATCATGGATTCTTGTAGCGTGGTTTAATAAATGTACTTCTCCCACTTATTTTAACCCCAAAATGACAATTCTGTAAGTAACTCCATTGTGTAAAACTTTACATAAATATATATATTTATATTTGAAGACTCAGGAAATAAGGATCGAAGCATTACCTAGAAAATACAAATAAGTCCAGAATATAGAAATGTTAAATTTACAGGGCTGTGTGATAGTAATAGAAGTAATTCTGTAATTTGAAAGTCTGCATGTTGTTTGGCAGAAATATAACAGCAAGCCATTTGTATATTTCATTCAAAAATCACCAGACTTTGTTCTTTATAAATAATATAAGGGAACACAGCCTCGAAGTATTAAGTCTCTGGTTTTTAAACAGTAAATAACTGAACATTTGGGGACTTTCAGAAAAAGAAATGGTTGTTTTAAATTAAAGGTTGCTTTTCTTTTTATATGAAATGGCCATTTATAATATGACTCTGGAAACTCAAATTCTAAATTACAGCCTTTGTTGTGCTATTATTTGCTTTGTTTTGTTGTTCAGGAAGTAGTTGATGTAGCCATGTCAACCTAAGTTCAAAACTAAAAAAGAATCAAATTGGTGCATTCAGCCATCTCAACTACTAACTTACCTGGCTTCTGAGATACAGTTGATAGATCACTTAAGTGCCGGATAAGTTGACTGCATGGACCACATACAGCTCACAATAGGAAACTTTCCACTTGGCTATAACAAGAAGTGCTGGACTCCGAGTACCTATTATAAAAGACAGAGTTTTCTTCAATGTAAAACAGTTTGAGGGATAACAAGGGTTTGTCTGAGCTGTGTATAATCATTCTATTAACAGGAGCTTTTTCCCCCCTTGTGTTTATTAGCGTTGGAGAAACTAATGTAGAAAAAAAGACCAAGAAAAAAAGGTATGTGTGGCTTCAGGAGTATTATGTAGATAATATATAATACTAGTTGGAGGGATGGGAAGAGTGATTTTAAAGTAATAGCTATAAGGTTTGGATCTGAAGTCTCTTGTTTGCAATTTATGATTAAATATTATCCTATTTTTTGATATGTTCCTCTCTTTACCTGTCTGGAATTTATTGCTGTCATTTCTACTTTTTCTTCAATTTCCCAGAGTCCTTATACCTGGGAATAGTAAATTTCTATTGGCTTGGAATAGAAAATGTTATTAGACTGGTAAGAAATTATTGACCCGCTATATCAGGTCTAAAGTAGTTAAGATTATGAAACACTTACCACTTTTAAATGGTAAATAAACCCATTTGTTACACTGCAACATTATTCTAATATCATTTGCTCTGGAGCATAATATATTAGGTACACTTATCTTAGACAGTGAAATTGCTGAAGTAAAAGACCTTGCTAAGTTGGGAAGAGATGAGGTTAAAATAGTTAGGCAGTCCCCAAAGCATCAAATCTGGGGATAACGTGGTAGCAAATCTTCAGCATATACATATATGTATATCCTATTCATATGAAATGAACACCTATTACATGTCAGCTTCCGATGCATGTAACTGTTGATTATCTGCTAGGTCTAAGAGTGTAACCAGTTCCAGTAGCGATAGCAGTGACAGTTCAGCCAGTGATTCTTCATCAGAGAGTGAAGAAACGTCTACCTCATCTTCCTCAGAGGATAGTGACACTGATGAAAGCTCCTCCAGTTCATCGTCTTCTGCCTCCTCCACAAGCTCTTCCTCGTCCTCTGATTCAGACTCAGATTCCAGCTCTTCCAGCAGCAGCAGCAGCAGCACAGATAGCAGCTCTGAGGATGAACCACCAAAGAAGAAGAAAAAGAAATAGAATTGCTCCATCCTTATTGGACTGATGGATTGAAAACTATCTGATTCTCAAAAGGGAATTTAGACTATGTTAAAGCCAAATAGGTTTACTGGCCAAAATTTCTAGAGCTCAAAAGTTTATAAATGTTTTACATTTCAGAGCATAAAAGGCATTAATAATAATAGAATATGTATACTTTTTTATTTTAAGGATGAATCTTGTTTTTCTTTTTTATCTTTAAAATATATCTCTAAAACTTAAAGCTGAGATCCAGTAAATCTGTTTTTGTGACAAAACTTATCTTTTCTTCCTGTGAAATGAATGCTATACTTTGTTATATATTAGTGTTATGTATCAGACATGTTTTCAGGATAATGCATCAGAGTATCTGGCAGTGTTTTTTCTAATGCTTTTGGCCGTGTGTCATGTCAGATTTAATACATCGTTGCTATAAGCTTACGACTATTCCTAATGTTAATAAATGTGCTCTATTTTTATGTTTATGTTGAGAAAGTTATTTGGACTTTTTTGTCCTAATTGAAAAGTTCAAGGAACCTATTAATATATTTATACCTTTTGGATGGCCCAAGTTTCAAGTTACTGTGTTGTATCATTCATTTTCTTCTTAAGAGTTACACTTTTCTGAGGAAAATCATTCTAAAGGAATTTGAAAAGAAACAAAAATTCTGAAACTACTGGGGAATCTAATCTTGGTGCCTTTTGATAAATTTAGTGTCTCAGAAACGAAAGCAGTCATTTAAAACGCTCACAAGTAAAAGTGATAGGAATATCTTTCTGTGTTAATATGCTTTAAAAGGTACCATTCAAAGTGGAAAAGAAGGTAGGAGAAAGAGGTAGTTTTTATTACCTCTTATTACAGCCATGTTGTTTACCTTTTACTAAGATTTTTTAAGCTTTCATAAAGATTGCCTTTTACCATTTTCGCAATTGCGAATGACAGTTTATGTGGTAACTGGTCATATACGACAGTCTACTGCATAAATATGAATGACTTGGATTAATTTGGTGTGTTTACATAGCATATACACAGTTGAAATCTAGCATGAAAGGTTAAAAAATACTGCATAATGTTTCTTAAAAGTAAAATACCCTGCCGTAGTGAGGTTATTTGGTTTAAAATCACATTATTCTGTGATGGCTTTTAAACTTTTTGAAAAGAGGTATTATTTGTAGAAAAATCTTGATTTGGGTTAAACATAGGTTTTTGAGACTATGAATGTTGTCTTTTTTATATTTCTACGAACAAGTGGTAGAAAATTACTTTTAAATAAAATGGGCTTCTATTTAAATGTTGAAATACATGTATGTTGTGAGTTTAAGGAGGCTGTAATTACTTGAAGGTTTACAGAACCACCTCCGTTCAGTGATTGTAAACAAACTCTCAAAACATCTTTTCAAAGGCTCCATACAAAATGTATCGAATGACAGGAAAATTTAATAAATTACTAATTAAACATATTTTACGAGGTTTGAGGTCTCCATAAGGGCAATTTTAGCAGTTAAAGAACTTGGAAAAGAAGAAAAATGTGTATGTAGGTTGCATCACTTGCAATTAAATAAAACTTATCATTTGTGCTCACAAACTTAAGCTTTCTGTTATCTCTGCTATTTTACTTAATACTAGTTTTTATTTCTTTTGAGTGTAAGGGCGTTTAAACACATTGTAATTATTTTTACTATTACAACTGTTAAAAGGTATTTACCTGGAGAAGGACAGAGGACAAGGAACTATTTTCTAGTCACACAGTTCACTCAAAAAAGCCAAATCAATGGCAAAGTAGAGACTAACTTCCAAAGAGTACTCCCATCCTTCCTAAAAGCAAAACTCTGGAAGTTGACTCTCTGGCAAATGTACTAAGTGTATTATTTCTCAACCACAATCATCTCAAAAGGAGTCATTAGATCATAGGTTTTCATTCCTCAGACATTTCATTAGGATGACCGTGCAATGTTGAAATTTTCTCCTGGAATCAAAATACCACATTAGGCTACAGGTTAGCACTGGAAAGAGAAGAAAGTGCAGAGAAGGTGTACTTCATATTCATGGTTTTATTTAGTCTTTTAACTTTTTATTTTGAACTGATCGTAGATTTACAGAAAAGTTGCAAAAATATTAAAATTTTCATATATCCCTCACCTAGTTTTCTCTAATGTTAGTATCTTACATAATCATATTACAATGATCAGAACCAAGAACTTAATATGATAAAACTGTTAATTGAACCAAAAACCTTTTTAATATTTCACCAGTTTTCCCTCTAATGACCTTTTTCTGTTCCAGAAAATGCATTTACTTAACTTCTAAGTCTGCTACTGTCTAACAATTCCTCAGTCTTTGTGTTTCTGGCCCTTAGCACTTTTGAAGAGTATTGATCAGTACCATATTTGCTGGCGTATAAGATGACTGGGCGTATAAGACGACCCCCTAACATTTCCACTCAAAATACAGAGTTTGTTATATACTCGCCGTATAAGACTACCCCCTCTTCCGCACACCTTCCACACACCAAATAAAAGGTAAAACAATATCAGATTTGATTTCAACATTTATATTTATATTCAAATGCTTATGACATGCAGGAAAACTGTCACAAGGCTGTATGTAATCAAACATATACATAAATCGCAATTCGCGATTTTGCGCTATCATACTGGGTGTATGGTCGGCTGTGTGCGATTTTGCGAGTGTGGTAAAATCGCATAACAGCAAAATTGCATAACAGCCAAGCATACACCCAGCAGCGCTGCTGATGCCTGAACGGTATGTGGAATGAAGTGGGCGGGCATCGGGAGGCCACTATGGCACGGGGCAAGCACTATGGGCAGTCTATCTGAAGTGTACCTGGCGTATAAGACGACCCCCCACTTGGAGGCATATTTTTCAGGGCCAAAAAATCGTCTTATACGCCGGCAAATACGGTAATTTTGTCTGATATCCCTCAATTTGGGGTTTTGGGTTTTTTTTCCATGATTGAACTGAGATTATGCTTTCGGGAAGAATATTTCAAAAATGAAATTGTGGTGCCGCCCAAGTGGCACGTTGGTTAGGAGTTGGCTTGGGATGCCAGTTCTGAGCAGCAGAGCCCTGGTTCGGATCCCACATGAGGACCAGTGACACTGCGCCCTCTACAGCTCAGATGGTGAGCAACAGATGCGCTGCTATGAGTTGCTGGCAACTGCATAGACTGCAATGGAGCTGGCCGGCAGCGCGTGAGCTTTCGTGAGCCACCATGAGCAGCCATCCAATGGTCAGCGAGCAACTATCTCACCCGGGAAGAGCGCAATGATAATACCATCATGGGCTATTGAAGTGATGTCCTCCACAACTAGACTGAAGAACAAAAGGACAGCAACTTGTCTGTTTCCCTCCCCTAATTTCCCAATAAAATCTTTAAAAAAAAAAAATGAAATTGTGTCTTCAGTACATCATATCACAGGATTCCTAATGTTGATCTGTCGTGTTTATTGTTGGTGATGTTGACCTTGATCACTTGGTTAAGGTGGTTTCTATCAGATTTCTGCATTTTAAAGTTACCATCTTTCCCTTTTAGTTAATAGATAACCTTGGGGGGGATACTTTGAAACTATGCAAATTGTTTCTCCCCACACTCATCCACTAGTTTTAGTGAATCTTGTCCATGACAATTATTACCGTGATGTTTTGCCAGTGGTGATTCTCTATTTCCTTCTACACTAATTGGAATTCTGTAAGGAAGAGCTGTCTCATCTCCCCCGTTTAATCAGTTATTTATAGTATGGATGTTTATTTTGTTGTGTGGGTTAAAATCCAATAATACCTTTATTTTGTTGTTCAAATTGTTTCACCTTTGGTTATTAGAGCTCCTTCAGGTTGACTCCTCTGTTCTTTCAACAAATTCTCATTTTGTTATTATTATTATTTTTTTTTAGTATTTTTTTACTTTCTAGGACCACAAGATGTCCCAGGTTCATCTGGAACCAACCACTTCTCCAAGGGACCTCCCCTGATTTTCAACTGGAGAACAGTGTTTAGAATCTAAGATCTGGGTGCTGCCTTAGTATGTTTTTACACATTTTAAATGATAGTGTTCTAAGGTAGTTAGACACGGTGTGGAGCCTTGCCATGAGGTAGAAAAAGTAAGATGTCATCATCGTCAACATTTCTTAGCTTTCTCTGCTTCCCTTTCATTGAACTCTTCCTCAGGAGCAATGCTTTCATTGACAACAGATGGAAGAGTCAAAGTCTTTAATTAAAAGTTGTTATTACTGCTTCCCTTCCCCCACTCTATAATACAGTATATGTAAATTCAGGCATAGGACAAATATCCATTATCTGGCACCACGCTGTGTTCTTGAGACAAAAACGTATAGTATATTTGTGTGTGTGCATGTGTGTGCATAATACTATATATATAGTATCTATCTATCTATCTATCTATCTATCTATCTATATATATATATATATATAGAGAGAGAGAGAGAGAGAGAGAGAGAGAGAGAGAGCCAGACCTTGGATTATGGTTCCTTAATTGAAAGAAGTTGACCCAAAGCAATATTTCAATTTTTTTTTATGCTGCACTGCAGCTTTTTACACCCTGGGAAGATTGTGCCATAAATAGATTAAGATGTATGTGAGCATAGTAAAGATTGAGAAAGGCTATATGAAAGAAGAGAGGAAGGAAGGCCAATATGGTACCTGGGCAGCAGACATTCTCAAATGGATTTTAGGAGAGGGTACAGATGGAAGTTGAGAACATGGAAATTGCCAATGTTCTTGGGAATGTCTGCTGTGTACCCCCCAAGAGTTCTTGTACGTGCTAGTCAAGGTAATCAGTAATATCAACCACAAACAGTAGAACTCCTATTTGAAAGTTACTATATACCAATGCATAAGTAACACTTCAACAATGGTTTCCTTGGAATTAGTTCACTATCTAGTTGGGGAGACCAGACACACACAAAGAACAATGAAAAGAGGACTTTCAGTTAAACTTGGCCTATTGAACACGTGTTTATTATCATTCCTCCTGAAATATAATGGAAATGGCAGAAAGGAAACAAAAAGCGTAAATTCATAAGGTAAAGAGAAAAAGAGAGGAGATGAAACAGATGAGAAATGACAACTCTTTTGGAAGCTGGGAAGTTGATGGGATAGTGGACACCAACTTAACCAAACAAGGCCAAAGCGTAAGCCTGCAGTGAGGAAAAGCCAACAGAAAGCAAGCCAATTTATGCCACAGAACTTTGGAGAGGCTCCAAACTTAATAGCACCATATATTTGTCAGCTAAGTGATTGGAGTGTTTGAAAACAGGAAGACTGATGGAAAGTTTATGTAAGAAGCTGAACCATTGTCACCTCTTTCTTGTTCATGCCATCTTAGTGGGTTGGTTTTTTTTATTATTATTTATCCCTTTACTGTGACATTTTGTGAGTGAGCAGTAGTGAGCACCTATGTTCAGCCTGCCACAATTAATAAATATTACGTTAGTTTAAAATCAAGTAAGACACAGTTGAATTTGCCTATTTTTTATGCTAATGTCCATTAGGGGCACACACAATAAATGCTACTAGACCACATTGATAAATTCCCAGCACTAGGTCTTACTGTCCCAAAAATTCTGGACAAAATCAAGAATGAAGAACCACAGAACTACTGGGTAACTTTTTCACATGGACATTGTGCTGTACACTTGATAAAATGTTTCCCTTCCTTAAGAAGTCATGAGGGGACTTTGAAAAGATGATTTCTCTACTAGGCAAATCAATAATCAAGCCTAGGATCACAAAACATGCCTACCAACACAACTAGATATTTGTGCAAGGAAAATCATCCTTAACTCGTTAGCTATCTTGAAGGGAATTGGTGAGTAGGTGGACAAAAGAGAAAACATTCATGCAAAATTTAACAGCTATTACTACTACCTATCTGTCCTCTGAGGATTCACAGGTTATTAATATATATATATATGTCTTAAGTGCTGCAAACAAGTCACTAGAGAGCTAAGTCTTCAACAGTTGCTGGGAGAGTGTGTGTGGTAAAGCCTTTCAAGGGAGGTGGATTTGGCTGAGAAACACTTGAGCACAGCTGGAAGCCTGTTTATGTGGAAGACTGGAGGGGATGAGGCTGCAAAGGTGGGAAGATGATTGACATATTATCAAAGGTATTATATCTCAGGCTAAGGAATTTGTATTTATCTCAAAGATGAAAGGAGAGCCTCCTATTCCAGAAACGTTTAAAATCTTTTTAGGAGTGTCAGTACTGGAAGCAGATAAACCAATGAAGGTACTTGAACTATAAGAAGAAGCCAAGCCCCTGACTCCATGAAGAATAAAATCATTTGTGACCCAAATTCTATAATCTCCATTTGTCTGAGATGGTATAACTTTTTAACTTTTCTTTTGGTAATATTAATGTAATCCAGGAAGAAATCAAAGTAATAGAACCAGATTCTTCAGAAAATATCAAAAAAGAATAGCAGTAAGAAGAGGAAGACACAAATAGTACAGAAATAATGAAGAAATTAATAAAACTCATGATGTTAATGGTGTTTGAAAATGTATGTGTGATTAATACTGTTATATAATGAATTGATCAGCTT